ATTTGGGTGCACGTTAAAGAACCCCAGGTGGTCGAAATTCCCGGCGCCCTCCACTACGGCGTCTCTCATAATAATTTGGTGGTTTTGGGACGTTAAACCAACATATCAATCAATCAATCAATCAATCAATCAATCAATCAGAAATAGAGGTAACAAAGAAACAAACAGAGACAATAATGATTTTGAAGGTTTTAAGTCGTTAAACGGACGCGGGAAACACTAATGAAAGCACGCAGCGAAAAAACAAATGATGAGTAATAAAAGGAAGTGGCGGCTCCCACTAAAGCAAGACGGAAACGTCGATTGAAAGTCTATTAACTCGACATGCAAGACGACCATGAAGAGCTTGTGAAAATGAGATTAATCTCGACAACAGCGCCATCATTCGGGGCAGCGTGCTCGCCGTCTACGAATGCGAGATTAAATCACGTCCCCTTCCCGCCAACACGACACCACTTCCAAAGCGTGCACCGAAATATAAATCGAGCAACCCTGACAGCGGCCCCTTCCCCTTGCTCTTCTGATTCCCGTTACTGGGCAACGCTGTTGTTTGGACCTCTAGCAACGTCTGCTTTTCCCGTACTACCGTGAATGAAAATGAAAAAAATCTGGATACGCAACGTAAGTACACGCTGGTGTTTGTGCGCACAGCTTGGGTTCATATGGGCTGTCGTGACGGCGTAATCTTAGTTGCATTGAGTGGGTCCTTGGCCTGCAGCCCTCGCTCCATTTACAACTACGTAATTCGGTGCCTCCTATTCGCCCATCAAATATGAAAATACATATGCTATATGGGCAGTGAATCAAATCTGTTCATGCGTTTCGTGTTAGCCGCAGGATTTCAAGGACGCAGTCAGTCAGATCAATTCGAAGACCAGGAAGGAAACTCAAACGAACTGTGGAGGCTGTTTCTGCAGTTCCGTAAAACAGGAGGAACAGGTGGAAAAACTTGTTCGATAATTCGTCGGGAAGGCCTTCATTGAATCAAGCTGAGCTTGCCTTTGAACCAGTAGTTATTAGACGGGGCATTCAGAGCAGAATAAGACACGATGATCAAAAACTACGGAAGCGATGTAGCATGTTTTGTCCCGGCGAAATCCTGAGATACCTCACGAAACGCGATGCATAATCATTGGTATTTGCGTGAATGTGAGTTATGAAAAAAAAAAGAAAACATCAACTTGACGTTGTCGCATTATGACGTCATCGTGACGTCAAATGTTTCCAAGGGCTCCTACGTCATGACTTCGCTATGGTATCACAAAGCGTTACTGCACGATGACTCCGTCACGCGAAAAAGACGCTTCGTCAAAAGGGTCCGATCCCGAAGGCACTACAGAACTACGTGAGGTGCGAAGAGTTTGCAACACCTCCGATCCCTGAGGCAACGCAAAGCCACGTTGGTTGCAGAAAGGGCCTTCGAAGGTTGGGGGGGGGGGGGGGGTGGCGGGGGGATGTTCAAAATCAACTGACAAGAAAGAAAAGACTGCTTTGACATTCCACTTATCTTAGGTAAATTCCTATGAAGGCGTGTGGCTTTTGGAATGAAAAAAAAAAGTCCTACCACGGTGATAGCCTTAATCATTTCTGACAATCAGTAAGAAAAGAGATCGCCCTTTGTTTACCTTCGCTTCGATGTTTTTTTTCTTTCCTTGGGCAAGTTTAGACATACGGAACTTCAGTTATCAGTTATCACTCATACGATTTTCGACTACAGTTTATTCGGACTAACGTCGAACTTACCGAGTTCGAAGTAAGCCTGAAGTCAACGGCGCGGCGCCCAGTTGAATTCCGGCTCTTCCAGCGCGAGAGTTCTCCCGTGGGTACAGAGTGTTAATTAGAGTTGATCATCACTCGCATATCAACAATTGATGTTAAAAATAAATGAAAAAAAGGATGAAGAAGAAACTGTCCTTCTATCCCCACTTTCTAGCTGTTCAAGTCACTGAGAACGCATTCGGAGCGATGCAAGGAAAGGTTTTCCAAATCTCGCAACGACGCGGGAAACACAGGGCTTAGCGCTTACCCACGCACCAATCAGGTTCTATACGCAATCAGCCAGCCGGGGATTGACGGTGGGCGTGTGCGTGAGTGTACGCGCGTTTGCTCGCGCCCCTTGGCACTGATGGAGGCTCACGTTGCCCGGTAATCTTGCGGGCTTGCTCAGAACACTCCTGATTGCTTGGCGTCTCGCCGGGCTACCTGCTGGGGCGGCTGTTCCAATCAGGTTCGATGCTGGCTGCAAAAGGTTGCACGGTAAGCCGAAGCCCGTCCGCTGCATTGTCGTCGTACATGGGCGTGTACGAAATCAGTGATGACATCTATACGGAAGTAGATGGGAGAGAGAGAGAGAGATAATGGAAGGAAGATGAAGATCCCAGCGTTACTGAAGGTAAGCAGACATCAGTGCAAATGTGATGATGGCGTCCTCATGATTGCTGTGCCACCGGCAACCCCAACCTCCTTGACTAAGTGGTGACCTTATCGCGTGATGACGTACGTCATCTATAGCAACGTCAATTGTTGCCGTAGTGATGTCCTTACAATAAGCAAATGACAGAATAAGGATTTCTAGGACACGCGCAGGATCTGCACAGCGTGATGATGCCATGTCTAGTCACTGTGCAGGTGAGTAGAGATGGAATGAGAGACTGTAGCATCCTTATTAGAAGTCATGTGCGTATTACTGCGTTAGCAACCAATTTCGGAACGGAGTGCACAATTTTAAGCTGCACACAGATCTTTTATTGGGGTGGGGGGGCATGCCTGCCCTCTAAAAGCTGCTACGACCCCTCCCCCCCTTTCTTTGTCTCACCTCACCTTAGCAAAAACAGAGGTATTTACAACGAACACACATGGGCACACACACACACGCATACGCATTCACACACACACACACACACACACACACACACACACACACACACACACACACACACACACACACACACACACACACACACACACACACACACACACACACATATATATATATATATATATATATATATATATATATATATATATATATATATATATATATATATTGAAGAGGACAGCGGGTCGTAAACAAATGAGAGAGGAGAAAAAACAAAATCCTGGGGCCCTGGCCTAACCAGCCTTCAACAAGGGCCGCTCTGGAGGCATTATTGCTGTTTATTCAAACTCAAGCAATGGATTCAACAAAAAACTAACTGTTAGCGGACAATGATAATTAGTACTTTAGCTAAGATTTTTTTTTGCCTACTGTCAAAAAAGAAATTACCGATAGGTACCAAAAATAAAAAAAAACATCTCTTGCGTAACCATTGGATTCCATGGCCTGTGCCATTTAGATATCCACACGTATGCTGCATAAAACGAGAAATATTATTAGTATTGTGGACATTTAGTATACCAATTTAGTATACAAGACTTCATAGTATGTATAGAAATACCAGGGGCAACGGAAGTGACCCGGTTTTCCTGACATGGTCAGTAACCCCCCCTACGCCCCTTGCAAAACGCCCTCAACTTTCTCCGTAGCTTTTTTGCCACCACGCAGGTCAGCCTGTCACGCCGTTTTATTAACAGACTAAAGAGCTCACACATCCGTTATGCTTTTTCACTGCTCGTAAGTCCCGTGGTTACTTTAACCTTGCGAGAGCTCTTTGCGAGCACCCCACACAATACGAGATACTACGCAGTTCAGCAGGCGCAACATGCATAGGCCGCGTATATATGAAGCATTCAACAGCCAAGATACATCGTGACAACAACAAAAAAGGATGGCGAAATGCGCATGCTCGTACAAGCCTCTAATAGAGTGTATTAAGGCTGCTAATGCATTACACGAAGAAAAGGAATGTAGTGGGTGGAAGTGAAGTGCGCAAAAGAAAGAATAAATAAGTAAATCGAAAATGTATTAAGTGGGCGGCTATAAAATCTATTGCAGAACAAAAAGAAAGCAACGAAAGAAAAGAGGCGGGGCAATAAGTTAGGGGATGTCACGATATTGCGCGAATTCACTGTCTCGACGATAATATATCACACGGTTAAGCAAAATACACGCGTGCCGTATATCAGAAAACATGTTAAGTGATGGCGCTTGTGCAAGCAGGCAGGTTGTACACAGTAGGTGGAATATTTTCTGACTCTCGCTGTTCACCATGGGGATTGATGCTACCGTTATATTTCTACTGACATTTATAAACCCAACGTCCTTCGGGTTTGTTAACACCCACATTCATCGATTGCTTGCCGCGAATAAAATCAAGGTAAATCAAATAGACTTTGTTTCCTAATGATTATGATGATATGTGAGGTTTATCGTCCCAAAACCACCATATGATTATGAGAGACGCCGTAGTGGGGGGCTCCGGAAATTTCGACCACCTGGGGTTCTTTAACGTGCACCCAAATCTGAGCACACGGGCCTACAACATTTCCGCCTCCATCAGAAATGCAGCCGCCGCAGCCGGGATGCGAACCCGCGACCTAGACTTTGTTTCTTCTCAGCAAGGAAAAGGGGGTAGCGGGAAAAAGCTGCCTTACTGCAGCTTGACTAAGCCCGGTCCTCTTGTGTTAAGGTTGGTGCACACCAGCGACTAGCCGCGGTCGCGCGACCATTTGCGACTGGCGACCAAATTGCGAGCGACGTTCACACCGGCAAGGCTTCATGCGAGCGACCGGAAGTCGCAAACCTGGAGAGTCACGTACAGATCTCGTTATCAACGAGAACTTGGGCGACCGGCGACGATCAGCTGATCAGATACGGAGCCCGCTGAGCGCGATGCGTTTGTTTTTGACGGCTGTGTGTGTGTGCGTTCTCCCGGCAGCATCATAGACTTCGAGTCGAGTGATGAAGAAGAGGTTGTGGCGGTGCTGATGTGCTCAGCCAACGTGTCAGCGCTGGCAGCACAGAAGCCTTCAAAGCAAGCAAAGCGGTGGTGGGTGAGACCGTCCCTTCGCTCGCGAGAAGTGGTCGTCCACACAGGGCGTCTGCTCTTGCGCTCGCACGACGAGGAGAATTTCCGAGAGTAAGTTTATGGTTGTTTTACGTGCTTATAAGATAGTGCATAACATGTTATCTCATTCTATTTTTGGTGGTTAGCTTCATGCGGATGCCGCCACGAACGTTCGATACTGTGCTCGAACTGCTGCGCCCCGCAATATCCAAGCAGGACACAAACCACCGGCCTACAATTTCGGCGCACGACTGCCTGGCCATGACCATTAGGTAAGAGCGTGTGGTTTGAAGATTAATATGCTGTGGCTTGCGGCTGCGCTTCGCTTGAAAAAAGTTTTGCTTGGGCGGATAGAACGAATTGCATTTATGACGTATGCGGGCTCGATGATGCAGTCGTTACTGCGGTCGGCAGTTTAGGCGTAAATGAGGTGTTTGATTACGGCCGCATCGATCACCTTTAGGTGGAGGCGAAATGCACTTAGGTTGGCGCGTTTGTTGCGCACGTACGTTAAGAATCTCAGGTGGTGAATATTTCAAAACCATCTGTTGTTGCTTATTGCGTAATCAGTACGTGGTTTCCGCTTGTAAAATCCCAGAAAATGGGATTCTGCGCTACACAATGACATTACATTGTGGACCGGTCAGTTCCCGTTTTCTGTTATCCTGATGCACAGGTACTATATAAAACTCAATTATTAATGATGTTATAAAATAAGTGAAACACAATCCTAAGCTTTGCGAGTACAATTATGCACAAATTGTTAGGACAAATTGATGTGCTGTTCGAGGCACTCAAAGAGTATTCATGCCAAAAATATTTTTCAGCATCGGGGAGGGAGGAGGTTCAACCAACCACCCTTTATGTATCTGCATGCACGACGGTGTGTGTTTGCACAAGTACACATGCGAAATTTCTCACAAACATATGCAGTGTTTAACCCCTGCACCTTGCTACAATTATACGTATGTTCTGTTAAAATGACAGTGACCCAATACACTGTGGACAGTAGCGCAGTGGCAAAAGGTATTGTGGACGGTAGCACATTGTGTGAAAGCAATTTGAACAAGTGACTTGAGTGATGTACGTTTTGCGAAATAGGTTCTCCTTGAATTTACAGCTTTTCAGAAATCCATGCTAAGAAAATTGCTACAGGTACGTTTAGGTTGCCCTTCTTCAACCTGAGTGATATGAGCACGTACGCTCTTCCATGAAAAGGTTGATGCATGCTTATGATTCGCTAAAATGTGTAGGCACAGAAATATTCACTGCATATACGACAGCTTGCAGAGTGCACAAGCAGTGCGACCGTTCGCGACCAGTTGCAAATGGTCGCGCGACCGCTCCTAGTCGCCGGTGTGCACCAGCCTTAATTTGGTTTAACTGTACAGGGCAATCGTTCTCTCAAAAGTGTACAATGGTTTTGTCCAAATGCGAGCAGTTACTGACCTTGGCTGCCATGAAACTTTACATATCGAAATTTCTAAAGTCAGTCAGCAAATATGCATTCTATCAGAAGCTATGATGATGTCGTAGAAAATAGACAGCAGAGGTAGCGCTCATTAATACATAAAAATGAGGAACACTTTGGCAATGTAGCGTCATGACTACGACACTTAAATGCAACTATGTGTGAGATTTTCAAGCTCAGCATGCTCCTTTTACAGTGTGTGTCTTCCATCATGGCTGTGCCGACAGAAATTTCACATGGCCCTTATGCGTTGTAGGTATGCCAAGGAAGTGCGAGATAAATTGGCGCACTACTTCGTCACAGACGGTCAGGTGCCTTGGCAGGACAAAGTGGTGAACAGCACTTGAGGCGTACAAGGTGAAGGTGGGTTGTAAATGCATTTTATTGCTTACAGAACTTATGTACATAGCATCTTCTTAAGCTAAACAAAGAAGAAAAAAATCACCCGTGACACAACAGATACATTACAGGGGAAACTGTCATGTCCAAATATAACCATGAAAACACAAAAATAGATAATTCATGTTAAAATATTTGAGTTATTGCACGGCTATCGCTATAATTATCACAGAAATAAGTGGCCTTAAAGGGGTCATGACACCCAATTTTCAACCATAATGTGTGTTGCATGAGCCGATTTTTGTATGTTCACATACAAGCTGGTGAAATTCGAGCGATTTGGTCAAGCTGCTAATTTTTAATCGCATATTTTTATAAACGAGCTAGTCGCCTGACAGTTGGGCAATACTGACGCACTCACTATCCATGACATCACGAACCGCTTGCTCGACAAGCTGCTGCACAGTGTGCATTCTGGCAGACGGTCGTGTTTTGTCATCAACTGCGTTTGCAATCAAATTTTTTTGCATTGTTGAACTCTCCACTAAAGCTAAATGACTTCCAGGGGTCGAAACATGGCTACTGTGTCAGCAATGTAGCGCTGGTACTTGCAGCAAATAATTTCGTGAATGTGCAATGCGTATACCATTTGCCACTGCTCCTTCGGCTTGTGACGTCTCGCAAGCCATGACAAAATGGCGGTCACTTGTGGTAGGTTGAGTTTTAGGAGCCGAGCCCTTCTACGGCATATTTCTGACTAAAATAATCTCTTAAGGCCCCTTTTCACACGTGTACTAGCACATTTTACTCTGTAGTTTTGTTTTTTGCTGACAACCGTCAATTGTTGAGTGACCAGTCATGACCCCTTTAAGTTAGGACTAGAAAAGTGAACACAAGATAAAAAAAGGTGGGTGTCATTGACTTTATATATATAAACACTTCAATTTGCTTCACTGCTCTGATGCAATTTTGCCTCTGCTTCATACAGCATAAGTTCTACTGCATGCATTACATCTTGTGCAATGTGCACTGGTAGCTCTCTGAGGCGTGCATCGGTACGTAGAGCGAAGAAACTAATGTTATCTTTTTTGATGACCCCCTTGTTCGCTCTGATGTGTTCAAGGTGCTCCATGCACGCTTGCGCCACAGCTTCATGGCTTGTGCCCTCTCCTGCATTGCTGCAAAGCAAGTGTGAATTGCGATTCATGCAAATGCTTTAAGGTTGCATTGTTACTTCATAAAGCACCATTTAGCAAAATAAACAGTGTGAGAACGACAAAGTAGAAACAGAAGAAACAAGACAGAGCACTGACTTTCAGCTAATGTTTGTGATTTTCGGCACTAAGAAAGAAAAAAATATAGAGCAACTGAAGCAAATTAAATAGCACACTTAAAAGATAAATGTGTCAATAGGGCGTCTACTTCTCTGTGAGAAATAAATGGGCTTTTGATCTTTGAAACGGACACTCGTGTTTTGGGACAGGGTGCTGATGTTCTGATATTAAGGTCTAAATATTACGGTAGTTACATGGGTTCTGTCTGCCTTAGTATAAATGTGCCCACAATAAAAACATCAGTTTAAAGTCTATGCTCTGTCCTGTTTCTTCTGTTTCTACCTTGTCGTTCTCACACTCTTTTTTGTTACTATGTCTGTGTACCAACTTGACCGAGCGTTAACCTTATAAAGTTTTGTGTTTTGTAGCATGCGCAGGATTGTTAGAAAAAAATCTGCAAGTTTATCCTCTAAGAGTTAGGGGTATATCTCACCTAGCGCCCTCGCAGGTCCGTTGTCGTCTTGACGAGCGTGACCTGCAGTGAATTATACATATTACTTAAATGTACAGAAAGAGATCCTTTTCGAAAAGTTGTGGTTGTGATCTCTTGCCAGGAGTACCTAAAATAATTTTTTTTGTTTACACACCGTTTTGATGGTGGCTGCTCTCTTGAGGTGGTTGCTGAAGCATCACCGCAGGAGGAGGCAGTATTATTATACAACTTATGAAGTGTTGCAATTGCATGTAGCAGAATCTGGTGTGAAAAATTGCATGTAGCAAAATCTGGTGCATGTAGCAGTTCAAAATAGGGCAGTCCGATTCATTTCTCGTAATTATAATTTCTGCTGCAGCGTAACACAACTTAAAATGGATTATTCACTTCAATTATTATCCACTCGCCGCAACATTTCTCTTTTATGCCTCTTTCATAAATACGTCAATAGCACTAAAATGACCAGACTTCCAATTGAACGACCCTCCTATTTATCAACTAGACTACACAACCGGCTTAGTTTCTCGCGCATGTACGGCAAAATGAACTCTTTTAATGCATCCGCTTTGCCTCGTGCCATCACGTTGTGGAATGATCTTCCCGATAACTTGGTATCTGACAATAACCCTGTTTCCTTCCGCAACAAATTGGTCTTACATTTTGGTTGATAATTTTATGTTCACAGCTTCATTCTTGTATGTATATGACATTCATAATGCTGTGCAAAAAAGTTTTTTTTCTAATGCGCTTATTGCCCCCTTATTTTTTGTGCTTTATTTTTGTTTGCTTAGGACGAACTGTTCACACTTCCTCTAAGCGCTTTCATGATTTTCCCAGTGTATTATACCACAATCTGTGCCAATTTAACTTACACGTATTGTACACTTCCTAACTGCTGCGTGCCATGAACTGCATCTTTCTTGTTTTTTGGCAACGATGTATGATGTCAATTTATACTTACTTATTTCTTGTTTATTTGTTACTCATGTCTCGAGCTTACGTTTTGGCACCTTTCGCCCTTTTACTTGTTGTACATGTCTTTGTTAGCGCCCCTTACTCAATGCTCTAACCAAGGGCCTGTAAGGTACCTGTAAAAAAAAAAAAAACCATTAGGCACATTCTCCAAAGTGTTAGAACATGAAGAAGGTTACAAAACATGTTTTTAAGATTTAATAGATTGGCTATCTATGCATGCCCTTCATTTGTCATTACTTAGGTGGATTCATAAAGGTTTTACTCATTGCTGCAGGTGTCGACACGAGTCTCCTCAGCCGTATCAGGGGTACGTTCCGGTTCCGCTGCATGTCTTGGCCGAGGCGGTGATCTGCAGTGATGAAAATTTCTTTCTATGTATTTGATGATGCCGTTAGTACATGAAAAGTTTTAGGCATTCTTTGGGAGTTAAAATGCCATTATGATTTCGCTCAACACGAGGTTTATTTTACACTTGCGTTACCTCTTGATTGAGCACTGCTGTATGGAAGGTGTGCATACAGAAGTTTATTGTGCCTATTATGTTAATAAAATGCTATGTAGGCTGCACATCTAAATGAGAACAAGAAATATTGTCACGGAGATGAAGTAAAAGTAATTGCAGCCTGTCGCTGATGAATACTTTGCTTTTTCAGAAATATTTGACGTTGTAAAATAACCACATTCACACAGAAACAATGCCTGTGCCCTCATGTATTTCGGCTGTTCAGTGTTGAGTGCTGAATGTATTGAAAAAAATGCAGTGGTTTGGGCAAGCTAACGACCTGAACACCACCTTTCAAGCACGCTTGTATTTTTGATAATTTTGCAAAGTACAATCACCTAGTAATAGAAAATAATGTTTCTAGGTTCAAGTCCATGCGTGTACAGCTTCAAGTGCATGCACATGGTACCGAAAATTTTTGTGCATGTTCACCTCTCGTTAGCCTCTTCTGCTGTGATGTGGCTGCTGCAAGAGAACATGCAATATGTGATTTTGTCAGTGCTATTGTGTGCATCTTTAGAGCATTTTCACTGTTTTGCTACAATATAAGTACTTATGCTGCATTCTTGTAATGAATATGTGCAATGCTTGTCTATGAACAGCCTCATGACACATGCAATAAGCGATCTCTTTAGATTTTTATATTTTGTATTAAGCCTTTCTTTTTTTGGTAAATGAGAGCCGAGAATGACACAAAAGTAAACTCAATTCTTTCATTCTTACTGTTCTGTCTTCAATATTCTGTTTTGTGAAGCTGTCCACGTGCCACTTGTACGGTATGCTATATTTTTTGCGTTGTGCTGATGCATTGTGCTATGCTAACCAAAACATTTCATTTTCTGTTCAATGGACGGTAAGCATTATTCATTACCTTTGGTCAATGGCACTCATGTTGCACAGTATCCAGAAAGAATGATGCACTGAGTTATTCTTCGTAGCTGTAGCCACAGTTATTCGACATCAAAACAGCCCATTGCCATCATGTTCATGATCACATGCATGCCCACTGTGAATTACCTCTTGGGACTTCTATGTTATGTGCAGTGTACTTATGTGTATTGATATGTGAGTATTTATGTGTATGTATAACAGTCATGTGAATTAAATCAACTTTTTTTTTTGTTTAGTACTCAATAGTCAGCTAATATTGAACTTACGCCACAGGCTCAGACTCTCCTTCCATTAATTCAGGCATGGCCTCAAAATGGGGCCATTTTATTGTTGGAATGTCGGCTGCTCCGGCTCCACTTCTTTGTTTTTTCACGTATGTCGTGTTGTTTCCTTTTGAAGATATCACGCAGGTTCTTAAATCATTTCTCAACAAGGACACCTGAAAACAAAACCCTTGCTGTAAGAATGTATTGTGCATACTGTATCGCTGATAAATTTTCTACTTTATTTCAGCACAATTGTGAGCGGTCTTTATTTTCTTTGCCCAGATCATTTCGGCTGCAGCACCCTAGAAATCTGAATATTGGGCAACAAAATGAATCGCATGCCATCTAAACTTAACTATTGGTAGGGGCTTAAACAATGCAAAACCACGACATGATTGAGGGAACCTGCAGCCGAGGGTTCCAGAAATGCTACCCACCTAGTGTTTTAGACCGTCCACCTACATGTGCACGACATCACAGCTGACGCAATGATTAGTTGCGCAAAGAGTTATGTACACTGTTTCTTGAAGGTAAGCATGTCTGCCAAGCTATTGTAACAAACAGGCTGTTTATACTGTCGGAAATTGAAGTTCACTTGCAAAAAGTCTATTTCATGAACCAGCGCATGATGTCTTTATCACCTTCACAGTGAAGCTTTCTAAGCATTACTGCATTGCGCGAAACTCCACAGGTGAGTATATACCATTGGTATCGGCCAAGCGCAACTGTCGTGTACAGCGGGAGCGATTGTTGTCAAACAAAAGCAAACATGTTAAATAACTTGAAAAGAAGAATGAAACTAACTAGAGCAAGTTGACAATTTTCGAGAGAAAGAAATGCAACAAACATAGTATATGACTCAAAGTGTAACATAGAGAGAGCGAGAGGAAGGAAAATATAAGAAAATAAAGGAACCAAAACATGAAAACATACCAACACATAGAAGCAGACATGAAAAATTGACTTTAAAATATAGGAACAAAGAAAACAAACAAAAACGAGGCACAGTTGAAAGCGGAGAGATATAACCTCGGGGAATAAAATATAAAGGCACCAATAGACAAAAACACAGGAGAGGAAAGGAACAGTTGTGAAGAAATGAGGATTAGATTTGGGCCACATTACAGAGGAATAAATTCCCCCATCTGTGCTTTCCTTCAGTGTTCGCCCAGCCACTAGAACACTACCATATCTTTCTTTTTTACGATTGCATGTCATTTGGCATCAACAGCATGTCTGACTCCCAAATCCGGGCATTTGAGAGTGCTGCTAAACATGTTTTTCATGTTTTAATTACACGCTCCTCTGTGGAGTGCACAAAATGTGCTCAAAGCAGAAGCTACTTTGCATTCTTTTTTAAAGCAGCACAACTGCAATGCATAGGCAAAATTAAAGCGTAACCCCCCCCCCCTCCCTCACCGCGCACTAGATATTATGCATTGCAAATGCCGCACGTTCACAAAAGCACACATTCCCTTGGCCAGACGATGACGTACAAACACAGCAAGGAGCATGCGCATGTGAGTTGGCAACTGCGAGCAGTATTTCGAACGTCTGAGCTTCATGATCAGCTATACAATGTTCTGTCACGTCGATTTCGATGTTAAACTCGGGAAGTCGCGAGAACAAACATGCACACAACTGCGCTCGCATACATCACAGTCAATACATCTCATGCAAACTAAGCATGTAACCTTGCAGTACAAATACCAATATTTTCATTGTTCATTCATTGGCAACGCCAGCCATGCAGTACACACCTGTTTTTGCTTATATAGCTACTCAAACAAAAAATCTCGGTACTTACTCGACATGCCGAACATGCTTCGATCTGCCCAAGCCCGGTCCTTCTTCGTCCGATCTTTAAAAGAAGGGTGCCGCTTGTCATACAGATATGGGTACATTTTAGTCGCGTCGATGAGGAGCTCGGCCGACTACCCAAAGCTGGCCGTGGTGGCATTCGCCTGATGCGAGGAAGAATCCATGGAGGAACGTACGTGTCGTTCGTACCTCACGGCAGTAGGCAAGCGCAACGAGAAAAAAAAAATAACATACGAAGAGACCGGATGTAAACAAAGACTGACGTCACTTCTGGTCTTCGCTGATTGGTTAAACTGTTTTGCGACTGCAGTCGCGCGACCAAAAAATCGGTCAGGAAGCGACTGGCCCAAACAGTCGCTTTGCGACCGCTTGCGACCGTTCGCGACTGGTTGCGACCAGTCGCAAATGGTCGCGCGACCGCGACTAGTCGCCGGTGTGCACCAGCCTTTACAGTTTGAAAGTGTGCAGCGCATACTATAGGTACATGGCATGCTAACAATAAGCAAATACGCTTTGCATAAGTATGGAAATAAGAGAAAGAGTAATATGGTCTCGTGGGGGTGCATGCAGTAAGTTGAGGTTTTTTTTTCATAAATGTAATAACACTACGTCACCACATCAATGGGATGTGCACAAAATAATTTGGAAAATATATGTGGCAATAAAGAATCGCAACCAAGAAAGAGAACGAAGACGCAATGGCTACAATAAACTCAATGTGAACAGGTTGATTTGATTGATTGATATATGGGGTTGATTGATTGATATATGGGGTTTAACATCCCAAAACCACCATATGATTATGAGAGACGCCGTAGTGGGGGGCTCCGGAAATTTCGACCCCCTGGGGTTCTTTAACGTGCACCCAAATCTGAGCACACGGGCCTACAACATTTCCGCCTCCATCAGAAATGCAGCCGCCGCAGCCGGGATGCGAACCCGCGACCTAGACTTTGTTTCTTCTCAGCAAGGAAAAGGGGGTAGCGGGAAAAAGCTGCCTTACTGCAGCTTGACTAAGCCCGGTCCTCTTGTGTTACAGTTTGAAAGTGTGCAGCGCATACTATAGGTACATGGCATGCTAACAATAAGCAAATACGCTTTGCATAAGTATGGAAATAAGAGAAAGAGTAATATGGTCTCGTGGGGGTGCATGCAGTAAGTTGAGGTTTTTTTTTTCATAAATGTAATAACACTACGTCACCACATCAATGGGATGTGCACAAAATAATTTGGAAAATATATGTGGCAATAAAGAATCGCAACCAAGAAAGAGAATGAAGACGCAATGGCTACAATAAACTCAATGTGAACAGGTTGATTTGATTGATTGATATATGGGGTTGATTGATTGATATATGGGGTTTAACATCCCAAAACGACCATATGATTATGAGAGACACCGTAGTGGAGGGCTCCGGAAATTTCGACCTCCTGGGGTTGTTTAACATGCACCCAAATCTGAGCACACGGGCCTACAACATTTCCGCCTCCATCGGAAATGCAGCCGCCGGAGCCGAGATTCGATCCCGCGACTTGCGGGTCAGCAGCTGATTGCCTTAGACACTATACCACCGCGGCGGGGCTCAATGTAAACAAGTAAACGCATATCGAAGTGCATTGTGTATATGTACACACATTGATAATCTGCTGGAATTACGCACGCGTTTCGAATAAGGATGTTCTTGACCTTGGCCAATTATCGTAACTGCTCGTGCCTTCCAAGCACCGGCTATACCTGCCGGCTAAATGGTGACTTATGTTAGCCACACCATTTCCAATATTAACTAGTGGCGGCTTATTAGTCAACGCCAGCCATAATTGCCAAATGACGGTAAGCGACCACTAATTATCGGTAGGTGTTGGCTGTAGTGTTCGTTAAGGCCGACTTATCCACTCTTATGACACTTTATTCAGTTAACATGGGGGCCCCGCCGCGGTGGTCTAGTGGCTAAGGTACTCGGCTGCTGACCCGCAGGGCGCGGGTTCGAATCCCGGCTGCGGCGGCTGCATTTCCGATGGAGGCGGAAATGTTGTAGGCCCGTGTGCTCAGATTTGGGTGCACGTTAAAGAACCCCAGGTGGTCTAAATTTCCGGAGTCCTCCACTACGGCGTCTCTCATAATCATATAGTGGTTTTGGGACGCTAAACCCCACATATCTATCTATCTATCAGTTAACATGGCGGTTTCAAAGTGTTACAAAAATATACGAAACTGTGACGTCAGGCTTCCCAGTGTAGTA